GAGGGAGTCTGGTCACTGTGTCCTGTATGCAGGGCGTTGATGTCACACCCCTGGGCTATGGAGCCTTCTCTCCGGGCTAAGGGTTACCACCAGCCTGTGCTGGAGTTGGTTTCTGCCTGGGAAGACTTAGGAATGGTCACAGAGTGGTTATGGAAACAGGTGAAAGGAAGAGCAGGCTTCTCAGGTGGCGCGAGTGGTAAAGAACTTGCCTGCCATGCAGGAGATGGAAGAGATGTGGGTTCGATCCCTGGGTTGGGAAGATCCCCTGGAGAGGGCATGGCAACCCACTCCAGTATTCCTGCCTTGGAAATCCCATGGACAGAGAATCCTGGTGGGATGCAGTCCAATGGGTTGCAAAGACACAGACATGAGAGAAGCAGCTTAGCATGCACACATGCAAAAGGAAGAGCTTTAATGAAAACCTAGGAGCAGCAGGGCAGAAAATCTGAATGGTCCTTAAAAGAGAATCTAAAGTATCTTTCCTAAATTAAAAAAAAAAGTGTATTATGTTGACTGCATATATGTATATATGCATACTTTATACAGACAAGATGATTTGTCTGTAAACAACAAACACATTGATCGTCTCACATATACAGACTGAACTGAATGTGTTCATTATACCAACACTGTAGCTACAGTGGATCCACCAGCAGTTTGGAACCCAGAACACCACACCCCTGCGGCACCAATCAGCTGCTGACACATGAAAACATTCTGGCTTGGACACTTTGGCTGGAGCTGTCCTGCCACGTCCCGTGTTTGAAGAGGCAGAGGAGGAAGTCTCATCTCCCAGACCAGGCTACTAGTTCTGTGAGAGCAAGGGCTGTGTCTTTATCGCTCATCCTCTCAAACCCCACGCAGTGCCAAGCACTGTGGCACCCACTGCTTCATTTCTAAGGGTCACTTTCCAAGCCACACAATAAAGAGAAACAGAATTATGTGAGAGAAAATGTTCTTTGGAAACCGACCCTTTCTCAAACCTGCTTCCCACTTCGTTTCTCTCCGCCATTCGTGGACGGAATGGGAGAAGCAAAAATCCAAGCTCTCTACTTTCACTTTCTTCCTACCCACTCCCTCTCCATGTATACATACTTCTCGGCATCTCCCTCCATCTCCCAAACAAAATGCTTCTTAATATCTCTTTCTCTTTCCTTAGACTCCCTGGCTTCCACTGCATCAGAAACTGCTTACCAAGTTCCTGGAAATGAGCTTTTTTCCAGCGGTCCACCCAGGATCCATCTCACGAAGGCAAGAAGAACAACACACCTGGGATTCATTCTCCATAGCAAGAAATCCGAATTCTTGGCTCTGGACCTTAAAAGCTAGAGCAGGGAGGGAGTCCAAGCCATTTAAAAATAAAAACTTTCCACAAGAAAGGAAAAGAAGGCTGGGGGGAGGAGGAGGAGCGCCATCCAGAGACTCAGAGAATTTAAAAATACAGTGTATCCCTCTGAGAGTTCATTTGCTAGGTTTCCACGTCCTATTCCAAATTAGCTCTTTCCAAGGAGCTTCAAAATCTTGGTAAACGCTCCAAAATTCCTGTGATACAGTGTGTGGTCTGGCAGCAGATGAGGAGATGAAAAGAGAGCAGAGAAGGAAAGTGATCAGAGAGCCCAATTTGGAAGAGCCCTTTCTAGACACAGCACTGCCCAGGGAAGCGAGAAGCAGAAAGTCACCAGGGGCTCGCTGACTGACGCAGTCACAGCAGGTCGTGTCATCACCGCGGGTCGTGTCATCACCGCAGAGATGCCGAATTGTGTGCCTACTGTGTTTATGATCAGAACAGGGTCCCCAAAGAGTCTGCCGCCGGATTGCTTGAATGGTTTTCCGCCAGGGCCCTACTGGCATGTTAGGCAGGACCACTCTTTGCAATAAGGGACTGTTTTCCTCAATGTTGGACATAGAGCACCCCTAGAATGTGGCCACTCCATGCAGGCAGCACATCCCGGTCGTAAACGACAACCCAGAACAACCATGTCTGTTTCCGAATACCTCTTGGCATGGGATTCGGGGAATATGACCTCCTGTGGAGAATAGCTTTTGAACTTTCTGTGAAATTGCAGATCCGTGTGTTGTGTGGTCTTCAACAGCAACAAATCTACTGGGGAACAAATCGAGTACTTTCCTCAACTGCAAGGTTTGAAGCCGAGGAGGGTGGCTGCTGTCCTGGGTGAGAAGTCATGGGAGCCGCCTAGCACCTGGCTCACAGGTCAAGCATCCGGTGTCACCAGGTAGAAGGCAGTCATCCTGCCCCTATAGGCTTGGCCGCAGCTCTGGCCTCGCATGTGCCTGAAAGTGCTGGGCTTGGGTGAATTCTTGCCAGTGTTTGGAAAACCCTTACATGTGACAGAATCACCCCCTGGATAGCCCCTTCCCTGATAATGGGCAGGAAGACAATCATAGAACTTTATGGTCCCAGAAGACTTTAAGAGATCATGTACAGGTGGGAACAGTGGTACCCAGCGAGGGCAAGCTGTTTGACAAGTCACACAACAAAAACAAGCAGAACAGTTTACATCCAAAAACTGCTGCAGCACACCCACAACTTTTACCCGCAGGATTATCATTCCAACATCCTGGGGAAGTCTAGCTACTGCTTTGCTATAGGTGGTATTTCCCTGGAAGGTAGGAACTCCACCTACTAGGTTCCTGCTTAATATTCTCAAGTCAAGGACAACTCCATATGGTTTCTGTCACAGTCCAACAGGATGGTCATGAAATGAAATCAAGATTTTTGTTAACAAGTCCAGAACCTCTTCCTCTGGCATTTTAGAAGGCCATGGAGAGAGAACTGTGGTGCTGGAGAAGACTCTTGAGAGTCCCTTGGACAGCAAGGAGATCAAGCCAATCAATCCTAAAGGAAATCAACCCAGACTATTTATTGGAAGGACTGATGTTGAAGCTGCAATACTTTGGCCACCTGATGCGAAGAGCTGACTCATTGGAAAAGACCCTGATGATGGGAAAGAGTGAAAGCAAAAGGAGAAAGGGGTGGCAGAGGATAAGATGGTTAGAAAGCATCACTGACTCAATGGACATAATTTGAGCAAACTCTGGGAGATAGATGGGGACAGAGGAACCCGGCATGCTGCAGTCCATGGGGTCACAAAGGGTCAGACACGACTTAGCAACTGAACAACATCATCAGAGAGACCACATGCTCCCAACCACCATGCATGTGTAAAATGGAGAGTGCTAGCAGGAGAAAGGAAGCCAAAGCCCACCCAGCTCACATGCTTTCTAGACGCGAAGTCAGTCAAACCAAGAGTCGGCGGGTGGACAGGTGAGCCAAAGGTCTTTACTCTTGCCCAGGACCTCTAGCCAGAGATACTGAGTAAGACAGGAAGTCATGGAGTAGGAAGGAAGAGAACCCTGGTGTCTAGGATGCTTTTGTACAGAGTCAGGTGTAGTACTGCACATAGTGGGTGAGACCATTCCATTACCCTTGACCCTCAGCACAGATGCCCTCCTCTCCCTGCCCTCTCTCACGTCATCACGGCACTGTCTCAAGATCACTGGCCCATCTGTGAAACAAGAAAGCTAATCTAGAGCTCTTATTTCTAAAGCATTAATACAGGACTTCCCTGGTGGTCCAATGGTTAAGAATCCTCCTGCCAATGCAGGGGACATGAGCTTGTTCTTTAGAACATCACAAAGATAGCCTGGAAAAAGGGTTGCAAGGTCAAATGACTTAAGAACTTGGAAATGCTGTTACTCCCACCCATTTTAAAAGACTTACAGTACAAATTAATGTGCTAAAGGCATTAATATATCCTACAGTAAATCACATTAATGCTGATTAAAAACCAATGATTCTCAAACTTATTTGACCACTAAAACCTACTAGCATCCCATGGCAACAATATTCTATTGCATATAATTTGCCACACGCCAACTGGAGTGATCAGAAGGAAACATTTTGAATAGACCCAAAAGATGAATAGGATTTTGTCAGACCCAGATGGAGGTGGGATATGTCAGGGGAATAGGCATATGGCCAGGGCTTTAGTGGCTCAGACAGTAAAGAATCCGTCTGCCAATGCAGGAGACCCAGGTTCAATCTCTGGGTTGGGAAGATCCCCTGGAGAAGGGAATGGCAACCCACTCCAGTATGCTTGACTAGAGAATTCCATGGACAGAGGAGCCTGGCAGGCTGTATAGTCCATAGGGTCACAAAGAGATGGACATGACTGAACAACTAACACCTTCACTTCAGGGTAAAGCAGGTATGAAAAAAGAGAAAAAAGAGTAAAGGTGGAGCCAAACAATGTAGGCTTAAGTATGCAAAGAGAAAGGAGCTATCAGATGCGTTGCTTACCAGGCCACCTCTTCCATGCTACTAGCACTGGCCCAGGCAGTAATGTTCATTTCCCTCTGCCATGTCTGGAAGAGAAATCCCAGGGCAAGTCCCTCCCTTCTCTTGGGTCTCAGTTTCCTTGTCTGTAGAACCGCTAGACTAAGCTCTCCAAGGCTCCTTGCAGCATCAGCGCCACAGACAGCACATACTAGCACTTAATGGGAGGAAGGCAATGGGGACAGGAGCATGGCCATTGGTTTGGACAAGTCAACAGGCTTACAGGAGAACGAGCAGGGTAAAAAATGAAGCCAGCTTCACTTCAACTCAGGACCCAATCCCCATCCACCCAATATCTCAGATTGTGGTTCTCAAACTGGAAGAATAAATTTGGCACACTTTCCAACAGTCAATTTTGCTCAAAAGATTGAGGAAAGCAAATTTAATTTTTGTACTAAGACTGGGAGATATTGTAAACTAGCATGTAATATTCCCAATGCATTTTAAATATTTTAAAAAGTGAGGATTCATAGAAATATCAGTCCCGTATTGGCTTTTTGTCTTATGGCCTCAGAGTCCCTAGAGGTACTTGTTCACACTTGGAGAAAATACTAGGGGACCCAGAGCCTTTGCTGCCTAGGTCTTGAAGAGTCAGAAGCCTACTTATCCTGAATAAAGCTATGCCAAAGAGACTGGAACTCACCATTGGATTGGTCTTCCCCATAGTTCTTATGGGATGGCGCATACAAGAACATCAAAGCAAAGACATACAGGTTCCACATGCCATAGATGCCCGTGAAAAAGGCACTGTTCACTTGGACCGTGACGCCGCCCCACTTCCAATGGCCTTCAGTCACCTATGGGAAAAAGGGGGTGACATTCAATTGGACACAACAAGAAACAACTCCAACATAACAATCAACTAATACAAACACCAAGTCTCTCCCATATATGGAAAAGTGAAGGGCAATGTAAGTGTCCATGTTTTTTTAAGGTTTTCTTTTTAAATTTTTTGGCTGTGGTTGGTCTTCATTGCTACACACAGGCTTTCTCTAGTTGCAGTGAGTGTAGGCTAATCTTTGTTGCAGTGTGCACGCTTCTCATTGTGGTGGCTTCTCTTGTTGCAGAGCACAGGTTCTAGACGCAGGGGCTTCAGCAGTTGGAGCACATGGGCTCATTAGTTGCGACACATGGGCTTGATAGCACCAGCTCAGTAGTTGTGGTACACAGACATGGTTGCTCTGCAGCAGGTGGAATCTTCCTAGACCAGGGACTGAATCAGTGTCCCTTACATTGCAAAGTAGATTCTTAACCACTGGACTACCAAGAAAGCCCCAAGATTCCATCTTTCAATCTGAATCATACTAGGATGAATTAAGGTTAACTGAGGGTTTCCCATGTCAGGCACAAAGTCAGTGGTTCTCATCTTGTCTGCACATCAGCATCACTTGGTGAGTATTTCTTCCTAAAACAGCAGTACATTGTTACACCTAATTTAATGAACCTGCATTTGAGTCTAACGCTTCTCCACAGTTATAGTTCCTCCCCTGCTATCCACCTTCCACCTTCTGCAAGGTGGATGTAAACACCTTGCAGGCAAGACCAGTTCTGGTTTGTTTTCTGCCATATCTTCAGGACCTGATGTACCACAGCATTGATTAAATAAACAAATGGTCCTTGGACTGAGTAGTTTTCCTGGGTGGGGCAGTGTAGCGAAGCAGAAAGACACAGGCTTGAAGTCAGAAACCTGGCTTCAAATCCAGGCTCTCCCACTCCCTTTCTGTTTAATGTAAGAGAAGTAAGATTAAGACTCTAAACTTCGGTTTTCTTAGGTACAAAACAAAAACTTGCAGGGTTAACCACTAAGGAGAATTAAGTAAAAATATTTTTAGGAATTTCCTGGCTCATAGAAAACATTCCATAAATCTTATTTTATAATGTTACATGTATAAGCCACTCATAAAGGTAATTATGAAGGTCTCATATGCTTTACAATTTGGCAAGAATGTTTTGAGGCTGGTTTTGTCTATGTTAGTAACATGGTAATTGTTTTAAGGGCTATCTGATATGACTTATGGATTGCACTAAGACCTGTCAAGAAAACTGTGGTGCAGAGGAACTAAAAATTTGTGCTGGCTCTGAGATCAATGAAATGATTTTGACTACTTCTGCCTGCTACAGGAAATCTTGAAAGTGAAAGTAAAAGTCACTCAGTCATGTCCGACTCTTTGCGACCCCATGAACTATACAGTCCATGGAATTCTCCAGGCCAGAATACTGGACTGGGTAGCTTTTCCCTTTTCCAGGGGATCTTCCCAACCCAGGGATCAAACCGGGGTCTTCTGCATTGCAGGTGGATCCTTTACCAGCTGAGCCACAAGGAAGGCCAAAGGAAACCTTAAATGGGAGTAAAAGGAAGGGCTACACAGCTGTTTCTGTGATAGCTTAATGAGGCTGGCTTATATAATCCATCTCTAAGAGCCCCTCCTTCTAGGAGCTAAAGTATAAGATGGCAAGCTATCTCTAAATGTTAATGACTTATACAAGCAGGTTGCTTTCACCTCCTGTTTATGAGGCTGTGGGTCTATATTCATTTGGTACCCTCTGTATAATCCACAACTCACAGGGTCCCCAGGAAGAATAAAGATATAAGGACAGGTATTTCCTTCTGAAAGGCCTGGAGTGTCCGTTAACCAGGTTAATAAATTATAGACTTATCACTTATTTACTTTTAGTTTGACCTTGGTCATACATAATTTTTCATTCTTGTGATTCATAAACAAACCACCATCACTAAGCTATTTCCTTTGGGAAATAATTCACTATATCACATGTTCAGGGAAGTGTTAGCAAAAAAGGATTTCATCAGTGATTTTAGGATAATGCACCAGCATTCAAGCTATTCAGAACTGCTTCTTAGAAACATCACCAAATGTCACTCTTCTTACTTTAAAGTACAGTACTTCCATGTATATGGAAGATCTAATTTAGTCTTAATAACAGCTCTATGAGATAGGCAGGTAACCTCTCAACTCATGGGTAAACTGTGACACAGAGAGTATATTGCCCAAGACTATTCAGCTAGAAAGTTGTGGCCTTGACCCACCAAAGAAAGTGGGTGTTCCTAACTACTTTACAACAAAAGAGCAGGAATATTATCTTAAATAGGATGAGTCTCTCACTTAGAGAGACTAAGAGGCAACTATTATGTCAGGTCAAATTTCCTTTGAAATTCACTTAATTGGGCATTATGCATATATTTATACGTATATATAGAGAGAGTATTATGCATTATACATATACTATATATATAGTTTGTGTATTCAAATCTGTATAATAATATGTATGCACTGTATATCTCAGACGTAGTAATGTTTGGTATATAACTGCATATACATGCAAAATACAATTTTACAGTAGAACCACTGAAATGAAATGCTTATGAGGGACACACTGGAGCCAAGACTGGCTGAAGAAACAGTAGATTCATGCCCCCTGCTCATGCCTGCTTCAGGACGCGTGCACTTGTTTAGAATGGAGTTGCAGAATTACCCATACTCTTTCATTTGTAATCTCTAAATGTGTTATTTCCTGCTGAGGGCAAAGAGTTGAATTTGCATAAATGGACTGTATACATAACGTCACTCTACTGTTGGGAGACGCCATTGTGCTTTCCTCTCTCCTCTCTCAATTATTCATGCTTGAGACATCCTGAGCTCTGAGTACATTCCCACCAATACGTACCACAATGAGCAGCCTCAACAGAGCAGGCCTTGTGAGTCCAAATCTTATGAATGCCAAGGCAAAGAGGTGACAGTCACGCCCTTTAAACTTTCAGAGAGAAAAATCAGGTAGCCCCAACCACAAAAAGAAAAAAGAAAAGAATCTCCCCTCTACCTAAAGTCTTATTTCTAAAAGTCCCCGTTTTTCCTGATTTCACATTTGAACAATTTACTTTTGTGTGAAACCACCCAATTATACTCCTGTAGCCAAGTGAAGGTCAAATCCCTTTACACCCAGTAGTCTTGACAACCAGCATTCCACTTCACAACAAGATTTCCAGATCCCAGACACAAGCTCTCTTACTGGAAACATTTCCTCTATAAGTAACAGAATGAAGTGATGACATGCCCAACCCCCACCCAAGGAAAAAAAAAGCTGCAGACTGGCTCTCTGGGAGTCTGCTGCATATGACTTGACCTGAATGTCAGGTACCTGGAGTCCCCTTCGTGAAGGTCAGTGACCTTCTCTCCTGCATTGCACTTCTGTTCCCTACTGCCTGCCACCTCTAAACGGAACGCCTCTTTCTTTTCCAGAGTGAACGGGCTAAAATACCAGACTCTGATGTGCCATCGCCCGGTTGCTATGACTGAGGCCATTAAAATGGCAGGCATTAAAAGACTGCACCTCAGTACCCAGCTACAAAGCCTCAAGGTCACTGCATTCCACAGCTTCCATCAGCCTTTCATTCCTGGCCTCAGAGCTTCAATATCCTGGCGAGATCCCCTTGCATTATATTTCATGGGGCTTAAATGCAAGCTCTCCCAGCAAGTCTGAGAGTATAATGGGAATTTTTAATACATTTCCTTTTACCTAAGGCTGGGATCTATTTCAAAAAGTTACCCAATAGGTTTCCTTTCAGGTGAGCTCATTGCTGAGACATTCCAAAATGACATTAAAAAATAAATCCTCTGATGACTGTATTAATACAGTACCTGGGACACTGAGAGTTATGCCTGAAAACGTCTTAGATATCTAAAAATAAACCTTAAAAAAAAAAAAACAACCCAGCAGGAGGACTGTAAGGAGCTAATGGAATCCAAAAGACCTCATTGCTACCCTCTTAGAGTTGAAATCCACTCCAGGCTGACTGTTGACTGTCGCAGCAGATATAAAAGGCCAGCCACAGGCTGGAACCCTGTTAGAAAATACTAGGGCAGTAGAATATCAATCTTTTTCTAAAAGCCACAAAGTCTGCAACTTGGAAGACTGGCCTCCTTTGCTTCAAAAAGGTGCACTAATTAAATATGTACAAGATAAATTTGGGCAACACGTAGCCACCTGAAACACCAGCACACAGTCCCTCCTGACTTCAGGTGGGAGGGACTCTGCAGAAAGTAAGTGGGACGGGGTGGGGCTGTGGGGGATGACTTCAGCTTTCCAAAGTTGCAGAGAGACTTCCCTGGCAGTTCAGTGGTTAAGACTCTGCGCTTCCACTACAGGGAGCACGGGTTCAATCCCTGGCTGGGAAACTAAGAATCTGCATGCCACAAAACACAGCCAAAAATAAGTACATAAGATAATTAAGTGGTAGAAATATGTGCTGGGAGCAAAAGTGCCCTTTCTTTTTGACTCCCTGAGAATGTACCTTGGTAATACCTTTTAATCCTCAGCTACCTTCCTCAAGTTTCTGTTTCTCCAAGAGTGTGTCCTGCTCTCTCAGCCTTGCAGAACTGGCTGTATTATGTGTCACAGTGCATTACTGAGGGACTGGAGGACTAGAGAGCTTTTTGGTCACATGAGGAAATCAACCAAGGGATAAGTCTGGCCTCAGACACCCTTATTGGAGCCTCAACTGGTTGAATAAAAAACTCATTCAGCATCTGAAATATTTTTACCACATTTGGAGCAGAGAGTGAAGTTTCCAAGGTTTTATAAACAAACAGTCTGATACAAACACAGCGCTGTTATAGGTCAAAGCAAAGGTGGTGAACAGGACTTCTTAGGATATGTATGTGTATTTATTTTTTTCTACTCACTTCAGCATTCAGCAGCAGCACTAGCTCTGCCCAGTGGACATAGCCAACAGGGCTCTAGGGGTTAGAGGCACCCTTGAGTATCCTTGGATAGAATTCAAGGGGTCCATGAACTAGAGTGAGAAAAAATTATATATTTATTCTCACCAGCCTCTAACTGAAAGGCTACCTTTCTTTCCATTGTGAATGTAAAAAATAAATTCCCATTATTTATCTAGTTTTAGCACCACCTGCAATTTTGTCTCCAATAGAAATCATATTTTCATATCAATTATACTACAGATCTGAAATATCAGTAAAAGTATAATTGCAAATATATACCATCTATCTATATGATTCCCTTTTAAATCCAAGTATTCTGTTCACTTAAAAACACTCAAAGAAGAGGCTTTTGGATGTTTAGAAGGCCAGGGCCTTCACCCAAGTTTGCCTAACGGGTCCAGAACACACAAAAAGCTTAGGAGCCTCTCTCCTAAAAGGAAGCTTGCTAGCTGAATGGGGCACGTCTCGTTGTAAGGCTCTACCTGCACTACTAACATTCTCAATTTTAGCCAAATATAGGGATGACAGAACAGTTGGCAAAGAAACTCAGAAAGATTAGATTCTGGTCCCTAACTTACTAGACGTCCTTTGACACAACACTCACCCTTGTTGCCATTCATGAGGACAGCTATTCATGCTCAGGGTGTGCCAGGCAGTCCACAGACCCCTTTATAAGAATTACTTCATATGATCCTTATAGCCACCTAAGTCAGGTGGCACTATTGTTACATCTATTTTATGGATAAGAAAATTAATCTTTGGAATTGTTAAGTAGTCCATTCACAGCTCACCCAGTGGAAGACAGCATAAATGGGAAATGTCTCTAAGGCCATTAAATTTCATATCCTAGCAAACTGGGATATCCTACTTACCCATAAGACTTCTGTGAAGCTCAAAAGAATGATAGATACGTAAACTTCCCTGGTGTCCAGACGGTAAAGAATCTGCCTGAATTCGGGAGACCTGGGTTCAATCCTTGGGTTGGGAAGATCCCCGGAGGAGGGCGTGGCAACCCACTCCAGTATTCTTGCCTGGAGAATCCCCATGGACAGAGGAGCCTGGTGGGCTACAGTCCGTGGGATTGCAAAGAGTCGGACATGACTGAGTGACTAAGCACAGTACATGATTTAAACAGTACTTTCCACTTTCTATAACAAGAGTATTTAAAAATCATTATCATGACTGAGATTTTCAAGTATAGCAAAATTTTGAGTTTTGGAAATAACTAGCAAAAGGATAAAGCTCTATCAAGGGGATTTTTGAAATATATTTCATGTTGTAAGCAGCAACATAATTATTCTAAAGAATGGCTGATGGACTCTAAAAGGATCTATGATAAGGATCAAATCAAATTAATACTAGCTCATTGGTATTCTGCTACAGAGCTTGAAAAGTTATTCTCTTAAATGAATGAAACAAGTGCCCGTCAATCTAGCTGCAGGCTTTTAATTTATTTACTTTTTCCTCCTATGAGGCTGCACTGAAAGGAAAATTCAGTCGACCTCTGGAAAATGATAACAAGTCCCAGATCAGAGCAGTCTAAAACAAATAGCTTGATGAGCTGCCCAGCATAACAGTTGCTTCATTCCTTTCACAGTAGCTCTACAGAATTTCCTGTAAAGTAGAGGCACCTTCTCAGGACATTCTCATCCTGACCTCTTTGGGTCCACTTACCTGACTAACAATGAAGAAGATGACAGTCATGGCAGCACAGGCCAAGGTGATGAGCATGAGGAACTTGAACCTGAAAATTAGCCCCTATTAGGAAAGAGAGAAAGAATAGTTTAACACTCTACCACCAATCCTTTTCTCAAAATGTAAACCTATCAAAAGCTAATTTTAAAGAAATCTGTAAAACCAATCCCTAAGAGTGACAGTAAAATAATTTCACATAGTAACATTTATCTTGCAGAGGTGAATGTGGCTGAAAATTTTATTGGGCCAAATATTTCCTCGCTTCTTATCTCTCATGAAACAGTGATACCAGAGCCTGGGAAATTACATTCACAGCACGTCACAAGGCTGCTAATTTCCCTGCTAAGCTGGTTATGCTTCTCTGCAAGGGTTCAAAGTTACCAAATCCAAGTTTTCTGCGGTTGTAATAAAATTCTGCTCCAGTGAACAAAAAGAAATGTGCATATTAATCAACATGAAGTGGATTTGGTTGCATTTTCTCATGTGTCATTCCAGTTCGAGACACGGGCAAAGCTTCAGAAAATACCCCCGCTTTCCTCAGAGGACTGAGGAAACCTGTGTTTCAGGGAGAGAGGCCTCTTATTCAGGGACTCTTATTTCTGCTGTCTATGAAAACCCTGTAGTTCTGCAGTTTCTGTTTCTCTTTGCACAAAGGAATAAGGCCCATGCTTCCAAGGAAGTGGCATGAGCCCAAGGGATCCTTGAAAAATTAAGAATGTGTTGCCTGCATCAGAGATGTCAGTCTGTCGAGTGTGTCTCTTGAATAGGGGGCATGATCTGTAAACAGAGATCACCGAACTCTACGTGAGCACCCGCTGGATATTTTAGGGAAAAGTTGGCTAACTGAAGTTTGGAAGTTGGCTAACTGAAACCAGATCACCAGGACTGAATCCTACTCTAAAGGCTGATTCTCAGCAAGAGAATTTTAAATAAAGCCTCACTCCAAGCCAAATCCCAATTCTACTATAGTCAGGTCTCCTATCTAGTTCGCACCCACATTCCATTGCAAAGCTGAAGAACCTGCTGAACAAGTTTACTCTTCATTGAGGATAGAAAGATATTTATACCACAGAAAACTCTAAGACCTAGATAAGCCAGAAAGCCAGATGCCACTCAGAGCAGGATTTAGCCTCTTATTTTGCCCAGAGAGCCTATGACACACGAGAATCTCTGTGTATTTGAAATAGAGGCTTCCATATCCCCCACATCTCCAGGCATAGTGGGCTGTTTGTGTGTGTTCTTATCAAGCAGGGGTCAGTGAGCACCAGTTCCTCAATGAGCCCAGAGATGTGCTGCTCCTGGTGAATCTGAGGTTCTTGCTTCGTCGCGAAAGAATTCAGACAAGTGATAGATAAGAAGTGAACTTATTTAGAGAGAAATATTCCACAGGCCGAGTATGGGCTATCTCAGAAAGTAAGAAAAACTTGGGAGAAACACACTCCATAGAGTGTGCTCCATTTCATAAGGCTTGAGAGTCCCCAAATAGGGCATGGTTAAGTTTTACGGGCTGAGTAATTTCATAAGCTGATGAGTGGGAGGATTATTCCAATTATTTTGGGGAAAGGGTGGAGATTTCCAGGAATTGGGCTACCGCCCACTTTTTGGTCTCTTATGGTTAGCCTCAGAACTGTCCTGGTTCTAGTGGATGTATTACTTAATGTGCTAATGTATTACAATGAGCGCATAATGAGGCTCAGAGTCTACTGGTCTTGGACACTGTTACTTCTAAGTTCGTGTCATGTTCTATGGCCGTATCATTCCTTTAAAGGTTGTGCCCTGCCCTCTTCCCTTCTGTTTGATTCCGCTCTCAGTAGTTTTACACTCATATTCTTATGGGAAGCGGAGGGGCAACTGCCTTCTGCTTCAAGGCTGAGTAGGAGTGTTGACCCTGCCTGCTGGGGAGTAAAAATCTCTGGGTGCCTGATCTAGGGGCTGCAGGGGCAGGACAGAGTCTTGTTTTAAACTGCTATGGGCTGGAATCCTCATGTAGCCAGCATCTTGATGTGGAACTGTTGTAACAGCTTCCATAGATTTTATATGAATCTCCTTGATGATGAAGCACTTTTTATAACAGCAACAGAATACAAAAATATCTATAAATCATAGAAGACTTAGAAACACAAGCTTAAAACATCTGATTACAGTTTAATCAATAAAGAAATTTGGTTACAGTAACCAGAATTACAAATGATTACATTTAAATTAACATACCAAATAATCCTAGTCAAATATTTTTCTTTGAGATACCTCAGAGACTCTCTAAAGTATCCCAAAGTTAGCTGGAAATCAAAAGAACTTTAATTAAAATTCAATATTTGGGAAGCTTGTCAAAAAGTTTTAAAACACTTGATCAACTAGGATCTAAGTCACTGTGAGACAATATTTGTACCTTAAACAAAATGAAAATAAAAGATTTTAAAGGCAAAGAAATTTTAAATCTGTTATCATAGGCAATTCAACATTTTAAGAATACTTGTCCTTTTAACAAAGAGAAAGCCCAAATTCAGGTTCTGCACCAACTTACTTTTAAAATTAATTTACTCAATTACATGTATTCCAAACTTAGTCAATTCTGACCATGCAATTTCCCTTTTCTCAGGGTCCAGTTTCCACAAACCCTCCATCACTGTCTGTATCCATCACTTTATTTTTTTCCATCCAGAAACAACTGGAAGACAGACTTACTTTCTTTTCCCTTAATAAAATGCAATCCCACTGCTCATAACTTTTTTTTACCGAAAACACACAACCCACTTTCCTTAAAAGCTTTTTTTCATATCGAGTTAATTTTCTTGTTGACAAATTTGTAAAAGACAGAATGAGGTTTTCTTTGACCTCTAATAAATCTAGGTACAATAAAGGTATTATATTTAACATTGATGACACTAGACATGTTTGTATCAATCAAATCAACAAGTTTAGGCACCTCCAATCCCAGATATCTGTTTAGTACTGAATATCTTACAGATGACATGAACCTGAACTTCGTTCTGACCAGTTTTCTATTTCTGAGTGTTTGTATTACTATAAGCACTTAATTTCCTTTTGGCAATACCATACATCTACAACACAGATACATACAAACATGCAAACACAGAGACCTCATAATTCCCATTTCAAAATTTCAGCCCTGAGTCAGTTACAAAAATGTAAAACGCATCAGTTACAAGGGGTTGGATTCAAACTGGGTTCTGGCAGTTGGAACAAATCAAGGTCACTTATCTAGACAGCTAAACCCTTTCTTACTGGTGTTTACAGAAAAGATACTTAGGATTTCCATTTATCCTTGACCAGTCAAGTTCTAAATTACCTTACCCCCTTTTTCAAAATTTGCATTTAACAAAGATGGCAGAGATAAGGGTTCCTGAAGAAGACCTGGTAGGATTTGATGTATTACAGGGAGAGTGGCATGGCACCAAAAGCCTGTATTTAATGAATTTTTAGATTAGGGGTTGGAGGCCTCATCGAACCTCTGATTTTACGTGGTATTGCTGCCTAGAAGGGTAGTGATTAGTTTCCTTTGAGGTGATTTTTATAGGAGTGACAAATTTTGCCTTCCCTGGGATTTCCTATGGATCTATCAGTTTTTCAGATTCTGAGGGAATATTTTGGATTGGATCATTCATGTCTTATATAATACACAGTCCAGTCAAAAAAATCCTACCCTTTGGTCTTCGGAGAAAGTAAGCGTTGCCCCCAAAGCTAAGAGAAAATCACTTCCCAATAATGGGTTAGGGATATTCAGGCATGACAAGAAACTTGAAAGTTGTAAAAGTCAGGTACAAGTGAAAGGGCTGGTAAAATGTTTTAGTTTTGGCTTTCCTTCTGCAACAGAGGAGGTTTCAGGGGCTAAGGGACCCAGTGTCAGAAGTCTGGACAGAGTCAGCGTGTCCCATGTCCACTAGGAATTGGACAAGCTTACCTGCTACATCAGTGGTCACCTATAGTACCTCCCATGTGACGATGACTGTCTTCTCGGAAGCCTTGGGAGGTCCCAGGTCCTGTCAATCAACCACTGCCATGACTAGCATGGGGGAATTTCCTTACTTCCTTCAGAGCTGGGGGCAATCCCCTCCTCCAGTGACCCATCTTCTTACAAACTGGGCATGGCAGCTAGGATGGAGGCTGGGACATGTTTTCACAGCATTCCTTGCTCTAGTGTTTAGGGTTCCCACAGTTAAATCATACTCCCTTTCCTGGTGGGAGTCTTCTGGGGGTACTTCTGGGGTAACCAGGAAGGGGGTTAGGTCTTGTCATGACAGCTGCCGAAAGCCTGGCTTCCTGTCCTTCCTTAAGTCCTGCTGTCTCTTCTTTTCCTCCTCAGCGTGCTCCCTATTGTTAAAAACACGGAAGGCTGGGTCTATAAGAAGACTGACAGGGGTCTGGGGCCCTATGGCAAATTTCTGAAGCTTTTGACAGATGTCAGGGACTGACTGACTAATGAAGTGGGTTGCAAATAATCAAATCTGAAATTGGGCTGGATTTTCATCTTGGGCTTGGGTGATCTCTTTAACCTTACCATAGTTAACAGGTTTAATTATGCATCATTTCATCCCTTTAATGAGGCAAAGGATCCCTACCAGCAAAACCAGGCTGGCCTGGCTGATAGTCCCAACTGGGATCCATTAGAGGCGCTGCTATCAGGCCAACAGGGCATCAATGTGGCTGAGCAATGTGTAACTCATCAGCATATTTTTGAGCCTGTGCCCCAATACGGGCCTTTTCCTCACTGATGCAGCAGTGGGAAAGGATAACATTTACATCCTTCCAGATAAGGTCAGAGGAAAGAGTCAGTGCCTGGAATTCTTCAGTGAACCAGCTAGAGTCCTCTGAGAGTCTGCCTAAGCAGGTGAGGCGTTAAGGTCAGACAAGGAAAAAGGGGTGTGGACTCTGGGTAATTCCCTGAGACACACCTACTAGTTTCTGAAGGGGGCAAGGAGGCTCTGGCTGCGTTTCAGGTGTGGAAGGGCAAAGACGCTTAACAGGCAGGAGAGAGGCTGAAGATGGTGGAAGAGTATTGGGACTTGGGTCTTCTCTCTGGGGCTCCTGTTCTTCCAGGGGTGCCACTAGAGAGGGCTTTTGTGTAGTCCAAACGGTTCTCTAACATGGAAATTGAATAGGTCTGGGCTTTCTCTTAGGGCCATAAAAGCCTGTGTAAGGAATTTCTATTAATTTTCCCTGCCTTTTGCAAAAAGATGTCTAACTGTAGGGTGGTACTATAGCTGAGGTTCCCGTTTTCTGGCCAGGCCTCATCATCCTGAAGTTTATACTGGGGCCAGGCTTCACTACAAAAACAAATGAGCTCTTTTGTTTTAAAGAATCTAGAGGCTTCCCTGGTGGCTCAGTGGCAGAGAATACGCCTGCCAATGCAGGAGATGCAGGTTCGATCCCTGATCTGAGAAGATCCCACATGCCACTGAGCAGCTACGCCCATGCACCACAACTCCTAAGCCTGTGTCGAGAGTCCAGGAACCACAACGGCTGAGCCCATGTGCCACGACCAGTGAAGCCTGAGTGCCCTAGAGCCCGTGCTCCACAACAAGAGAAACCACGGCAATGAGACGCCCTAGCACCATAGCTAGGGAAGAGCTCCCACTCACTGCAACTAGAGAAAAGCCCACGTGGCGGCAAAGGCCCAGCCCGGTCAAAAGTAAATAAATAAAATTACTTCTTAAAAAAAGAATCTAGAGAAAATATGTCCCAGTGACTCAAAATGCACCGCAGGGGTGAGTTCCTGGGGATGGAGGAGGTGTACCCCATCATTCCTTCGGGAGAAAATGCTCCTGTACCAGAGAGGAACACTCTCACTATAAGGTCCCATGGGGGCTGAGAGAGGACTGGTTCCAAGTGCTCCTGACCACCTATCCTGTCAACTTTATCCACGATGAGAGTTAGCTACTCCCCTCTGTGGCAGTAATGGGGCCCGTGTCCTATCCTGACATCCATGGTACCCAGTATGAGTGACCTTCCTGAAGGTTTCTCTTTAGATTAATCCCTGTGTTCCAGGTTATGCAGCTTTTGGAAGGACATCCTCATGCCTCTGCATGTGCGCTCAGTCGCTAAGTTGTGTCTGACTCTTTGTGACCCCGTGGACTATAGCCCGCCAGGCTCTCTGTCCAAGGGATTTCCCATGCAAGAATACTGGAGTGGGTTGCCATCTCCTCCTCCAGGGGATCTTCCCAACCCAGGTATCGAACCTGCGTCTCCTGTATTGGCAGATAGGTTCTTTACTACTGCACCACCAGGGAAGCCCCCTCATTATTCTCAGACCTATTTAAGTCCCAGCCTTTTTCTCTAAAACGATGGTTAAGTTTTGGAAAACAGGCACTGGCCATTAAGGGAGATGGTGTGAAAAAGAAAAAAATAAACCTCTTTCCCCTTCCTTTCTGAGGGCAGCATCCCTGGGGCTTCAGTGTCATCCTCCCCCTGTGCCTTCCCACGCGTGCTCTGGTCAGCAGACAGGGGGACCGGGTGCAGGCACAGATACGGCAGCAACAGTGGAGACATCATGACTGTAGGTAGGGGGAGAGAGGACCCCAGGACACTGGAAGGACATGCCCAATCACAGGACCCCGGGGGTGTCAAGCACAGCAAATGCAGGCCATTGCCACAGCATGCAGCCCCAGGGGCATAGCCATGTGTGCAACAAGCCAGCTCGAGTCTCCTGCCTTGCCCTACAAGGGCAGGGTGGGGTCATGTGGACCCTAGAGGAGGCCAGCCAACACCAGGAGGGTGAGGGCTACCGCCAAGCGGAGCAGGACCAACCCCCGCCCTGCCAACACCCAGGGGTAAAGGGCACAAATGACCTACTACTCGAGGGAGCTCCCAACGGAACTGCAGCCCACGGTACAAACTCTAAGGCTGTATTTCATATTTTTACACAATTGCACCTGTTAACAGTTACTTATATGGTAGATCAGGTAAACCCAAAGGGCAAACATCGTATGGCTCGGTTCCCATCCTGTGAGGATGGCTGGAGAGTTTCCCTGACATGCCCTGTGCATATACAACAGTAAAAAGTGGAAGACCAAGTGGCAAGGTTTGAAAACGCCTGGCAGATCTCTCTTTCCCTATTTCCAGCAGAGTAAGGCAGCTCCTCTCAAGGGCAAGGGAGGTGAGAGGCTAAGTCTAAAAGGTGACAGAGTAAGAGAGCAAAAGAGACAGAGTAAGGGAGAGACTGGGCAAGTAATGGCAGGAAGTCAGCTAGTGCCTCTTGAGCATAATGGAGGCCAGAGGCTGAGGTTTACCCAATCCTCCTGGCTGGCTTCACCAATATGTTGCTGGGGCGTTGAGGTTCTTGCTTTGCCTCAAAAGATTTCGGAGGCAAAGTGATAGACAAGAAATGGATTTATTTAGAGAAAAACACACTCCACAGACATATGGAGTCTCACAGAAGGTGAGAGGTGCTGAAATACGGTGTGGTTAGTTTTTATGGACTAGGTAAATTCATAAGCTAGAGAGTGGGAGGATTATTCCAATTATTTGGGGGCAGGGGGAATGATTTCCAGGGATTGGGCCACCACCTGCTTTTTGGTTTTTTATGCGTGAGCCTCAGAACTGTCATGGAGCTGGTGGGTATGTCATTTAGCTTATACTAATGTATTACAATTAGTGTACAATGAGGCCCAAGGTCTACTGGAAGCCAAATCTTCTGCCATCTTGGGCGTAGTTGCTTCTAACAGTTTCAGTCGTGTCCTATGGCCATATCATTCTTTTAAAGGTTGTGCCCTGCCCTCTTCCCTTCTGTTTCCTGCTCACCTCATAGTGGAGCCTCCGGACTTTGCTCATGGCTGGCAGGCTAGACTGCTTCCCGCTGATGTTCCGAAAAACCTGAAAGACCATGAAGCACAGAAACAGGAAGTAGAGGCAGAGGCAGATCCCAGCCACTATGATGAAGGCCATCTGATGGTGTCCAGTTAAGGAAACGGTCAGCTCGCCAAGGACTCAAGACTTCACTCAAGGGTGACACTCTCTGTCTCCAAATATGTAGGCAATTTTCAGGAGGGTAAAATATTAAAACCTGGCATTAATATCAACATTAGAGAGGTTCCCTGACATAAAAGTACCAATGAGTGAAGAATGTTCCAAATAGCTTTCTAAGCTGGATAACAAGAGGGACAGAACCTTGCTTTTAGATATACAGACACTAGGGTCCACCCTAGACCTACTAAATCAGAATCTGTCTTTTAACAAGGTCCTAGGGAGAGTCATATGCACAGTAAGTTGGAAAAGCACTAAAATATTGGATATTGGTTGTAAAATATTGATCAAGTAGAAAGCTGTATTAAAATCACCACAAAAGTAAAGATACAGTTGCCTAGGTCCCACTGCAGATCTACAGAATCAGATTTTCCAAGGGCTAGGAAACCAAGTATAACCATGTTTGTGAACCATTGGCCTAGCATCCAGATTTTTATGAAGAGGTTGAAGTGCCCTGGAATTTGGAGAGCATGGAGCGTGGGTTGGATGCAATAGCAGCAACTGCTGCTATAAGGGATGCTAGGCATGAGGTTGAAGGTATTGAAGTGAAACCTTCAAGATGAAGTTCTGTTGCAATCTTCTCTCAACACAAGAAAAATCTTGTCAGATGGAATGGGGAGCAGAGGACACATGGCCAAGGTGGGAGTTGAGGGTGGGGGCAGTATACTCTGAGGTTGATCTTCAAAACTTAATCTGACAATCAGCAAAGCTTGGGGTGGAGTGATCTGACTTGGGAGGCACATGACCAGACTCCAACTTTTTTCTGCTATAACTCCAGGCCAAGTAGTATATTTAAAGAAAAAAATTAAACAAGGGTGAACTCAGCATTTATACTTCACTAAAGTGAAAGTGCTAGTCACTCAGTTGTGTCCAACTCTTTGCAACCTCATGGATTGTAGCCCGCCAAGCATCTCTGCCCATGGAATTCTCCTGGCAAGAATACTGGAGTGGGTAGCCATTCCCTTCTCCAGGGAATCTTCCCAACCCACGATGAAATCCGGGTCTCCTGCAATGCAGGCAGATTCTTTACCGTCTGAGCCACCAAGGAAGCCCCATATTTCACTAAATAATGGATTTAATGCAGTTTCTCTTTCTTTCCTTGGAGAAGGAAATGGCAGCCCACTCCAGTATTCTTGCCTGGAGAATTCCATGGACAGAGGAGCCTGGCGGGCTAAGGCCTATGGGGTTGCAAAGAGTTGGACACGACTGAGCGATTAACTACTACTACACTCCTTTCCTAAAATCAGTGGTGCCTTTGAATGATGGGAAAAGAGTTAGTTGCTGCAAAACTTAACCAATTATTTGCCTCCTTGGACCTCCAGCATTTCTAAAAAATGAAGGGGTTGAAGCAGACTAAGGATCATAAACAGTCCTCAGGTGGTACAGCTAACTTTTTTTGGTGGTGGGATGGCAGAAATGGGGAGCTCAATTCTCTCATCTTTAAAGCAATGATACCTTGATCTAGTTTACTTGCAAAGTTTTTGCAATACCAAGAAGCCAATATAAAGACCATGGCCAGACAAAGCTTATCTATCAGCATATGACAAGATATTATCCATCAAAAAGAATACAACTCAAGCCTTTCTCTCCTCTCCCTAGGACAGTCTTTTTTTTCCTGAAGCACTTAACATATTATTGAGAAAGATAAATGTTTAAATCCAGCATCCTAAAAGGGATAAGCTAAGACTGTCGCTTCTGCTTCATGAAGATGACTCAGAGAGTTTATGCCAACCAACCAGAAGCCTGGGTGACTCTTCTGGAACTAATCACCTTAGCCTTATCTCCACTTGGTCTTGGAAATGAATAGCAGAGGCATGGGATGCCAGCACACCAAGGTCACTGTAAGAAGTCTGGCACACAGATGATGTCAGTAACGGGGGCCCTGAGATGAACCTCCGTGGCTGCAGGGAAAAGCCAGTCATGCTTCAGTCTGTGGTAAACAAGTACATAATAGAACATTTAGACAGGCAGCGGCAAGACGAGCCACTCCGATCCCTGGGCTGTGTGGACTTGCTGCAACCTCCTCGTTTTGCCTGCTCTCACCCAGGCTTGAAAGCAAGCATTAATTCTCCTCATTATTTGCCTTAATTGTGCTGTTCTCATTGGTCTGAAGATCAAAGCTGCAGCTGAGCACACATGGAGAGCATCAGTGAGACTTAGAAAATGGTCTTGGGGACCAGGCGGCTGCGGGAAGAAAAAAAACCCTGAGCCCATCAAGTAAGGATACAGCCAGTTCTGTTCCGACATCTGTAGTCCAGATACTGTAGAAGGGATTCGTGAGTTGTACCCCTCTACAAAGAGAAATGAGACGGAAAGGCAAGACACAATTAATACATAGGCAAAGGGGAGCTTTCCTTTCTACACACTCTCAGCTTTTCAGCCAGAGGGGTGGTGTCTGTATTCAGACTAAGTCGCAGAAGATGTAGAGAGAAACAGTTTGAAGAATACGATTAGCTCAAATATTTTGTATTTCTAGACAGCTCTGTCTCTTAATCCCAGTGCCATCCTAAGGATGTGGTCATGTCCTTGCTTTCATCCTACAGGCTCCCAATCACCTCCTCTGCCTTTTCAGATACTTTTTCTAAAGAGCTGAGGGTGAACCTGGTGACATGCATTTCAGTCCAGAGTTCCACAGGCCCCCTGCTTACCTCTCACACATGTCAAATATGAAAAGGCAGAAAGAGCCAACAGCAATTGGTCCGACTTGCTTCCAATATCCTGCTATGTGATTCCGCTCATGCTGGTCCTGAGGAAAACCAAGTCGAGAAATGAGAAAAAGATAGGGGAAAGCAAAGCAATTCTACAGGTGAGTCAGTCACCCAACAACCCTTGCTGCCTATCTGCTGTGTATCAAATCATGATATAGGTTAAAAAAAAACAACAACATCAACATAGTGCTAACAAATGGAAAAAATTTCTCTAAATTGTACATAGTTTTTGATTTAAAAAAAAAATTACAACACAGAGTGTTACCAATTCTTTCTCAACATCTTCCAGAAATTATCTAAATAACTGATCCATTTGTTGTTTTGCTTTCATAAATACTTTGACCTAATCACCAGACCAAATACCTAAGGACAGAAGATGTTGGGAGTAGTGGTTTGGGACTTCAAAGGGGAAGGAGGCAATTCACATGGAGATAGAAAAGCAAACATTTGGTAAACAAATGTTTGCTGGGCCACGCTGAGACAATGGGACAGGAGGTAAGCTGATCTTTAAGGCCCTGCCTTGCGTTTTCCTCCACCACCCAGCCCATATTCTTTGCAGATATCTCTGGTGATAGCTCTATTCAGGGAAACAGGTCATCTACGAAATTCTTTTAGGCAGTTAAGGGGAAGGTCAAAGTTTCTCCCCTTTTTTTTTGCTCTACTGGGTCTTCATTTCTGCTGGGGCTTTGCTCAGTTGCGGCAAGCAGAGGCCACTCTCTAGCTGTGATGTGTGGGCTTCCCATTGCGGTAGCTTCTCCTTTGCGGAGCACGGGCTCTAGGGCATTTGGGCTCAGTAGTGTGGCTCCTGAGCTCTAGAGCACAGGCTCAATAGTTGCGGCACACAGGGTCAGTTGTTCCAAGGCATGCGGGATCTTCCCGCATCAGAGATCGAACCCGTGTCTCCTGCACTGGCAAGCAGGTTCTTTACTACTTAGTCACCAGGGAAGCCCTCTTCCCAGTCTTTTGATCCTTGATTGTTTTCAGCTAGAAATAATTTATGCGTCAAAGAGATATTTTGGTTTGTGGTAGCAAATTTCTCTTCCTTACATACCTTAGGTAGTAGAAGTTCTGTGATCCATAAAGTAACTCTTTCAGATTTAAATTGCGATGTGACTTATCACGGGTATTTTTTAAGGTGGGGGCGGGGGGAGTTCCCAGAGGACAAAATAAAGACTCGAAAGCATTAAAATATGTCAAGTGTAAGAGATTTGTTTCAGTTAGGAAAACAGTCCCTCCATTCCTGTCCATGCTGACGAGGGCTCATGGTCAGTGCAGCTTGCTGGAGGACTCCCAATGCCACCCAGCTGTAAGAAAAAGCCTCTCTCTCCTCTCACTATTCTCCTGGAAGGGCTGCAAGGCTTCAGAAGCCATGATCAAACCATGATGGAATTTAAAAACAGTCCGTGTTACTATGAGGCTCATGTGCCTAACACAGGCTCCAGGCTCCAACTGGCACACCACAGCGTGATGGCTGCACCATTCTTATTTTTATCCACGATATCATCAGTCCCTCTTGAAATATGATTTGGTGTCTGTGCAAACTGAAACCAGAGAGGTCAGCATTTAGGGTAGCAGGGGTTACTAGGCCACCTGAACCCACTGCCAGCTGGAAGATGCCTGGCCCACAGTCTGTGGTGGTCGCCTTGGTCCTGGGGACAAGCAGAGCTGAAGTCAAAGAACGGGAAATGCTGATAATCATTAATGTTTGTGCATCTACTTTATGTTAAATATTTATTCATATTATGTCATCTAAACCTCACAAAAAACCTACACATTAGCCTTTAAAATCCATTTTATAGATGAGGAACCTGAGATTCAGAGCAATTAAGTCACGTGGTGACGCAGGAAGCTGAACCATGAGTCTGACTCCAGGGCTCTTGAGCCCACTCCTATAACCACTAGTTTATTCTGCCTCACCACTGCCCCTTGCCCAGGATGCACTTACCATCATGTGCTCACCACAGAAGATGATCCAGAAGGAGAGAAGCATCGCATAAAAGATGCCCTGTCGGATATCACCAAACAACAGCATCCAGGTCCAGTCAAACCCAATGGAAAACCACTCCACTGGGATGTTGATAAACGTCATGGAAATCCCAAGGGCAAAGATGACTCTGATGGTGAGAAAAATATCAGGAAAACTATTTTATTTATCTGGAAGGCAAAACATTTTTTATTTAAAAATCGAAACTCAATTTTGGGAAATGAGATGCTCCATATTGGCACTGAAGCCATGTGACCAGTTTCTTTGCTCTAATGAGAGTATCTACATGGAGATGCTAAATGTCTTCTTTCATTGGCACCACTGCAGAATGAAGGACTGTTACATTAATCCTTCTGCACAGTAAGTGAACCTAACCTGAATGCTCTGAACTTTATCTAGGTGCCACCTCAGATTAAGTGCTTCCTAAATGTTTTCACCCTCCCTTGCCTTCTTACACAGACCTCACTGAATATACCAGTACTTACCCTCTCTTACCTATTCAGGGTATCATTAACCTGCTCATTAGGAACACTCATTATTATGATATCCTCAGCAAATATGAATCATGCAAGCATTTTAATTTCAACAACACATGGCTCCAAACAATATGAAATACAAATTATTTTAGCTGCTTGTTTCATTTTTATTTTGCTTTTCTCCCATTAATGGCCACTTCCCTATCAAAATTTCATTTATTTTGTTACTGATTTATCCACACTTTCATTCATACCCACAAATCATGTGTCAGGCATTTTGTTAGGGCTATAGATACCTAAATGAATAGGACCAGTTCCTTCCATTATGGCTATTCAGTAGCTGAACCAGATAAAGTGTGATAAGCAATATGATAGATGAGTACAACAGATTGCTACCAGGACTTCTTACTTTGACAGAGACAGAAATTAAGCTGAGTTGCAAGTCAAGGTTAGGGAGGTGGAAGGGCATTCCAAACAGAGGGAAGAGCCTGGACGGAGCCTAGAAGAGCCTGAAGCATTTAGGGATCTGAATATGGGACATATCAGGAAATGACAGGCCATGAGACCAGAGAAATATATATAAAGGCTGAGCTGGTAAAGAAACTTGCATACCTTATTAGAGAATTTGAAATTTATCCCGAAAGGACTGAGGATCCAATAAGAAGGTTTAAAAATGGAGCAGCATCATTTCATTCATTCACTCAACAAATTCATATTTATTGAGCTCCTACTGCGTGCCAGTCACTATTCTAGATGCTGGGGATACAGAAGTAAACAAAGTAGGCAATGATCCTGCTCTAGTGATGCTTGTATTCAGATGGGGTGAGCAGAGGGGTAGAGACGGAATGAGAATAAATAGAGAATAAGTATTATGAAGAAGTATTTAGAAAGCCAAGTGAGAGAATGGAGAGTGATGGGAGGCAATTTAAATAAGGTAGATGGGAGGAAGCCTGTAAGACAGAAATTATACTAGGGCTGAAGGAAATGAGGCACAGAGCCACAGAGGTATCTGGGAAGGAGCATTTCAGATGAAGAGGACAGGAAGTGCAAAGGCCCTAGGGAGTGCATGCTGGTCATGTCTGAGCACCATCACGGTAGATGGCCCGTGGTGAAGAGAATAGGAGATAAAATTAGAGGTGGTGAAGGGCCGGATCACTGAAGGTTTATAGGCCAGAGTAAAGGAAATGAAAAGCCAACAGACAGCTTTGAACAGAGCAGCGACGTGATCCAATTTCTACTTAAAAGAAAAAGCCTGACTGCTGTGTGAATAGACTGCAGGAAATAAAATGATGGGAATAACAGGAGCAGTTAAGAGGCTATTTCAATAATCCAGGTGAGAAACGAGAAATCAGGGTTAGATCAGAGTGGTAGATACGGAAATGCTGAGAATATCCTGGCATGTTGGAAGAGGGGTGTGAATAAAAGTGGAGTAAAGGATGCCTCCTACATGTCTGCTCAGCTGCTCCTAAGCAGTTGAAAGGACAGAGTTGCTATTTCCTAAGATGAAGATGCCCCAAAGAAGAGCAAGTTTGAAGTGGGAGGAAAACAAGTGTTTTTTTTTGTATGTGGTACATTTCTATGTAAATGAAGGTGTTTAAGTAAACAGGTGGAATACTAGGGCCCAGAGTTGGGAATAGCTGAGGTTGACCAGGTATATGGAGAGCATCAGAGTACAGATGGTTTTTAAGACCAAAAAGCTAGATGAGATAACCGGGGAAACAAATGTAGCTAGTAAAGAGAAGAGGTCCAAATGTTGCAGGAAGGGGGACCCCTTTCAGGGCCTGAAGCTGGGCTCTTGTCTTAAGACTCGGAAATGAATTGTCTGAGGAGACACATGTACTGGCAAAGCAAGAGATGTATCTCCTCCAAGGGTTAGACAAGAGTCCAGTTTCGGGCCCTTGAAGGGGTCCCCCTTCCTGCAACACAAAGACCGAGCCTCAGCTCAGAAGCTTAAGAGGTTGGAAAGATGACTGGAAACAGCCATGGAGACTGGGTGACAGTCAGCAAAGGAGAGAATAACCGTGAGAATGTGGAGGAGGCTCTACGGAAAAAAAGGGAGTGATCAGCTACGCCAAATGCTGACACTTCAGTTCAGTTGCTCAGTCGTGTCCAACTTTGTGACCCCATGGACTGCAGCACACCAGGACTCCCTGTCCATCACCAACTCCCAGAGCTTGCTCAAACTCATGTCCATTGAGTCAGTGATGCCATCCAACTATATCATCCTCTGTCAGTCCCTTCTCCTCTCACCTTCAGTCCTTCCCAGCATCAGGGTCTTTTCCAAGGAGTCAGCTCTTCCCATCAGGTGGCCAAAGTACTGGAGTTTCAGCTTCAGCATCAATCCTTCCAATGAATATTCAGGACTGATTTCCTTTAGGATGGACTGGTTGGATCTCCTTGCAGTCCAAGGGACTCTCAAGAGTCTTCTCCAACACCACATTTCAAAAGCATCAATTCTTTGGCAGTCAGCTTTCTTTATAGTCCAGCTCTCACATTCATACATGACTACTGGAGAAACAATAGCTTTGACTAGACAGACCTTTGCTGGTGAAGTAATGTCTCTGCTTTTTAATATGCTCTCTAGGTTGGTCATAGCTTTTCTTCCAAGGAGTAAGTGTCTTTTACTTTCATGGCTGCAGTCACCATCTGCAGTGATTTTGGAGCCCAAAAATATAAAGTCGGTCACTGTTTCCATTGTTTCCCCATCTATTTTCCATGAAGTGATGGGACCGGATGCCATGATCTTAGTTTTCTGAATGTTGAGTTTTAAGCCAACTTTTTCACTCTCCTCTTTCACTTTCATCAAGAGGCTTTTTAGTTCTTTGCCTTCTGCCATAAGGACAGTGTCATCTGCATATCTGAGGTTATTAATATTTCTCCCAGCAATCTTGATTTCAGCTTGTGCTTCATCCAGCCCAGCATTTCATATGATGTACTCTGCATAGAAGTTAAATAAGCAGGGTGACAATATACAGCCTTGACATACGCCTTTCCTGATTTTGAATTAGTCTATTGTTCCATGTCCAATTCTAGCTGTTGCTTCCTCACCTGCATACAGATTTCTCAGGAGGCAGGGAAGGTGGTCTGGTATTCCTATCTCTTTAATAATCTTCTACAGTTTGCTGTGATCTACACAAAGGTTTTAGCATAGTCAATAAAGCAGTAGTAGATGTTTTTCTGGAACTCTCTTGCTTTTTCGATGATCCAATGGATGTTGGCAATTTGATCTCTGGTTCCCCGGCCTTTTCTAAATCCAGCTTGAACATCTGGAAGTTCACGGTTCATGTACTGTTGAAGCCTGGCTTGGAGAATTTTGAGCATTACTTTGCTAGCATGTGAGATGAGCAATTGTGCGGTACTTTGAACATTATTTGGCATTGCCTTTCTTTGGGATTGGAATGAAAACTGACCTTTTCCAATCCTGTGGCCACTGCTGAGTTTTCCAAATTTGCTGGCATATTGAGTGCAGCATCATCTTTTAGGATTTGAAATAGCTCAACTGGAATTCCATCTCCTCCACTAGCTTAGTTCGTAGTGATACTTCCTAAGGCCCACTTGACTTCATACTTCAGGATATCTTGCTCTAGATGAGTGATCACACCATCATGGTTATCTGGGTCATAAAGATCTTTTTTGTATAATTCTTCTGTGTATCCTTGCCACCTCTTCTTAATATCTTCTGCTCCTGTTAGGTCCATACAATTTCTGTCCTTTATTGTGCCCATCTTTGCATGAAATGTTCCCTTCATATCTCTGATTTTCTTGAAGAGATCTCTAGTCTTTCCCATTTTGTTGTTTTCCTCTACTTCTTTGCATTGATCACTGAGGAAGGCTTTCTTATCTCTCGTTTCTATTCTTTGGAACTCTTCACTCAGATGGGTATATCTTTCCTTTTCTCCTTTGCCTTTCGCTTCTCTTCTTTTCTCAGCTATTTTTAAGACCTCCTTAGGCAACCATTTTGCCTTTTTGCACTTCTTTTTCTTAGGGATGCTCTTGATCCCTGCCTCCTATACAGTGTCATGAACCTTCATCCATAATTCTTCAGGCACTCTGTCTATCAGATCTATTCCCTTGAATCTATTTTTCACTTCCATTGTAGAATCATAAGGGATTTGATTTAGGTCATATAGTGGATGTGACCTAAATGCTGACAACAAGTCAAGAAAAGTGAGGACTGAGGAATGAGGATTGGATTTGGAAGGTGGGGGTCACTGGTGATCCTATTAAGAACAATTTTAATAAGGGGTGGAAGGGGCTCAAGAAAAAACAAGAGAAGATATATACACAAGATTTTTGCGGAATTTTGTTGTAAAGATGAGCTGAAAAATGATGCAGTAGCTTTGAGGGGAAGTACAAAGAGTTCTTAAATCTAAGAATGGGGATGGAAGAGTGTGTATATTAACGGGAATAATCCAACATAAAGCAAAAAGTCAATAATGTGGGAGAGAAAGGGGCTATCTCTACAGGAAAATCATCCTTGCTGAGAGGGGCTGAGAGGGGTTGGGATTAGTCAGCAACAATGCCATTCATCCACTATATCAGAGAAATGTATCTGATACAGAACGTGAAAAAGCAAAGATAGAACAGACAGCTGGAAATATGAGAGCAGTAGAACCCTTAGGATTTAATAATAACTTGAAGGTAAAAGCTGAAGGAAAAAAGGAGTCAAATCTCCAGTCCAAATAACACACTGACCACTTGAACTAGACTCCCAGCAACAGGTCCACGGCAGGCTGTGCCAGTGTTTCTTAAGAGTGCTGCAAAATCAGCTCTTACTTTTCCAGGAGCACTGGGGGTCGAGACATCATGGTGATCCTCCTCCAATACCACACCATAATGATGAAGATGCTGGGTGTAAGGAAGGTCTTCATGGCAAACCACACCTTGGTGAAGCCTCCATTTTGGTGAATTCCCTAGATAGAGACCAATCATAGTTTTGAAGGTCAATATATCTTGGTGTTATTTTCTACCAGCAGATGCATTTTGAAGAGCAGTAAGTGGAGATCTTTATTGCTGAACTTCCAAGATCAAGAGCTTTAACATTCACAGCAGGTAATGTCCTCACACTCCCCTCAACCCCTCCTCAAAACTAAATCAGACTAAATCAAATCAAAAGGCATGAAGATAGACTCACTTTATCCTAAGGGAATGATTAGGAACATGATCAAAGGTTTTTCTCCAAGGTTTTCATTGAAAAATTGGAGCTATCTTAGAGGCCCCAAATGATGGCACTGGTATAATGTGTTAAGGTGAATAAACACTGTGGAAAGCTAAGCAGTACCGCAAAGTATATTTACATTATATTTATAATAAACCATTAAATTTTAAAAAGCAAAGAATGGAAGAGTCAGTTGAATATGATTCCCCCCCCCCCTTTTAAGAGAAGGATTGAGCTCAGTCTCTCAGTTGTGTCTCTTTGTGACCCCATGGACTGTAGCCCACTGGGCTCTCTGTCCATGGAATTTTCCAGGCAAGAATACTGGAGTTGGTTGCCATTTCCTTCTCTAGAAGGGAACAATTTTAAATATATTCATACACACACACACACACACATACTATACACACATAGAAAAAAATCAAGAAGGAGATAATAACAAAACCTCGAAATGGTTATTTCTCAAGACAGTAGGATATTACAGATAACTTTCATGTTCTACTATGTGTTTATTTGTGCTTCTGATTTTCTACAATAAATATGCAGTAGCTTTTTAGATTTAAAAAAAACCCTAAATTAGGTTTAAAAAATCTACTCCACACTCTTACTTTTTCCCCTTCTAAAGAGACAAAATGGTAACAACCTATACCACTACTGTGATCAATCACATTCACTTACCACCAGCCGAATATCCTTTATCTCTCCAATCCCAACGTTGATTTTCTTCTTCTCATTCACAGGCAGCCGGATATTTAGAAGATAATACTTATGAGCCACGGACCCAATTTCCATGAAAGGAAGGACATCACATTCATAGTAACGGCCCTCATGTTCTAGGGTCTGAAAGAAGAGTAGAGGGTTTGAGGCAAGGTCACCATTTCCAATAAACTGTGTCTGAAGTGTCTTGCCTTTGACTCATATCACCAATTTTAAAAAGTTAAGGCTTAAATGTATACACCAGAGGTAGACACAATAGGGTACATGGGTTAATATAAGCTGCCACCCTCCAACCCCAAAATAAAACCCAGCCACATGTGAGGTGGAACCAGAAATCTCAGGTAACAAGCAGGGATTTCTTCTATTTCAACACCTTTCTCAGCTCTTCAATCCTTATTACAGCCTCACATCAGACTAGCCTGGTCTATAAGGGCTATATAAGAACTTTTAATTGGTAGCGTACTATCAGATACTGTATGGCTCTGTGGAACAGTCAATTTCTTAAATGTTCACGAGGAAGTCCTTGCTAATGTTCATCACATTCTTGTATCATGATCACTTATTTACATAGTTTTGGCCTGTAGGAGATGCTACAAGAGGCAGGAAATATCTACTTTTTATTGATTTGACCAAAAAAAATAGAAGAAGCAACTCAAGGAGCCTTGGAATTTGGGGAAGATACAAAGGGATGAGTGGAATAATGAGATTAGGTTGATATAGATGACCTGTTGGAATTTTCTACCTTTAACTCTTTCTAACTGCCCAAGAGACAAAATGGCAGAAGGGAGCAGAAATTGATTAAACATTTAGCACAGTTTCTAGGAAGTCCTTTTTACCTTTTAAAGCTGACTTAAAATTCAATATTAAAAAATCTAAGATCATGGCATCAGTCCTATCACTTCATGGCAAATAAAAGGGGAAAAGGGGGAATCAGTGACAGATTTCTTCTTCTCGGGTTCTACAATCACTGTAGATGGTGACAGAAGCCATGAAATTAGAAGACAATTGCTTCTGTGCAGGAAAGTCATGACAACCCTAGACAGTGTGTTAAAAAGCAAAGATATCACTTTGCCGACAAAAATCTGTATAGTCAAGGAAACAGACTTTCCAGTAGTCATGTACAGATGTGAGAGTTGGACCATAAAGAAGGCAGAGCACCAAAAAATTGTGGTGTTGGAGAAGACTCTTGAGAGTCCCTTGGACTGCAAGAAGATCACACCAGTCAATCCTAAAGGAAACCAACCCTGAATATTCATTGCAAGGACTGAGGCTGAAGCTGAAGCTCCAATACTTTGGCCACGTGATGCGAACAGTTGACTCACTGGAAAAGACCCTGATGCTGGGAAAAATTGAAGGCAGAAGGAGAAGAGGGTGACAAAGGATGAAATGGTTGGATGGCATCACCAATTCAGTGGACATGAACTTGGGCAAACTCCAGGAGATGGTGAGGGACAGGGAAGCCTGGGGTGCTGCAGTCCATGGGTTGCAAAGAGTTGGACCCAACTTGGCAACTGAACAACAACAGCTAGGAAGGCCTCCTGGACTTCCTGTCAAGCAATTTAAGAGGTAACACCCAGCACAAGGTAGGGGGAGACTGGTGAGTAGGGGCACAGCTTGCTTTTGAAAACAAGATTCTGTTCCAGCTCCACAGGGCACAAAGCTTTGTGGCCTAGCTGAGGGGTGGGGGAAGCTCTCAAGTATGGGCATGGAGAAGCAGGAGCTTCAGCAACTGAGGACTCTTTCCCAATGAACCAGATGAGTGTCTGCCTTCATGCTGGGTTTGTATTCCAGCTTTAATGTTTGCCTGGTACCTTCTGACGAAGTGATGGAGGGATGGAATTTGGTATTCCTGAGCTTGAATTCTCAGGGCCTCCAAAAGTTTTGTAAATCTTCAGAGCAAAAAGTCCAGAGGAGAAAGAAAGATAACAAGGAGTCTGTTCCTTCTGTGATCTTGGGGGTGGGGGAGCGGTTTACTAGACAGTCAGAGCTTAAGAGTGCAATAAACAGACCTGCATACAGGGACAGAAGACACAAACGACAAAAACAGAGGTAGAGCAGGTACAGACCTGGCTTATGGGCTTCCACTCTTTCCTTTCCTCCTCATGGTAGACATCACTGTTCAATCATGATCGTTTGTCATTTTCTAAGGTTTTAGGGGCTCTTATCAGAATGACCAGTTGATTAGACATGGCATTTGAAGTTTATTCTTCTGTAGAAAGAATCCTTCTTTTCCAAACCTCAGCTGCAAGTCGGATAAGTCTTCCAGTATAGATCTTTCTCTCCTAACTGCTCCCTTCTCTTCTACTTATAAATCAAGGCAGGAAGGACTCTGCAAAACTGCTGAAAATCAGTATAGTCTCTAATTCAGCCTCAGATGAAACTGAACTAAGAAGGCTGATTACCTGCTCTTGTAACAGCAAAAAGTGGATATTCTGATGTGTTTCCAATAAGCTTATTTACAGAAGTTGAGAGTTTGAAGGCAACAAAACTTACTCTAATGCCACTGCCTTCATTATGTGTCTCACCCAAGGTCTCAAAAGTCATGGCAGAATTGGGTTGAGGACTTCCAAGTCTAGCCTCCAGCTCTGATAGGGAGGAGGACACGTGAATGCAGCAGAAAGAAAGGAATGCTGTGGCCTTGGACATGCCTGAAGGCAGGCATGACCTTCAAGCCAAGAGGTTCAAATTCTAGTCCTGACCTCACCCCTTACTCGGTACCTGGGGAAGGTCATCCACCTCATTTGGTCATAACTTTCTTTCTAAGTAAAGCGTGTTCAGTCGTGTCCAACTCTTTGCAATTCCATGGACTATAGCCTGCCAGGCTCCTCTCTCCATGGGATTCTCCAGGCAAGAATACTGGAATGAGTAGCTATTCCCTTTTCCAGGGGATCTTCCCAACCCAGGGATCAAATCTGGGTTTCCTGTATTGCAGGCAGATTCTTTACCATCTGAGTCACCAGGGAAGCCCCCTAAGTAAAGCAAGGAGGTTTACTTATGTGATCTCTTGAGTTCCTTCAATGCCCCTTCACGGGTCTTCCGTCCCCTGTCTTCCACTCCCTTGTCCCTACACAGAAGGTAGCACCACCACATGAGACAAATTTACTTAAATCCAACAGATTAGAGAGACACACAGGGTCCTGGGATCCTGGCCTGTCCTACCTGTCTCAGACAAATTCACCATATCCTGCTGGGGACTTTTCTTTATGCATTGAGGTTCTGACTCTGCCAGTATTTAGGGCATTTAGAAAGAAAGATTTCCTGCTCTCTCTACCTCCTTTTCCTTTCCCCAGCCCCCTCAGCCCTCCCCTAAATCCAGCATGAGACTGGCTAATTAGGACAAATTACAGCAGGTGGCAACTTGACTTTTTTTTTTTTTTTAAACTTCACAATCCACCAGGGACTAAAAAGCTTTAAAGCAATTTCTCATTTAATCTTCAGACTCAAGTCTAAATTTCACTGCAATCAAAAAGCATAGATTTGATGATTCATTTCCTTCACACTTTTCAAGGTTTAGTATCTTTCTTGAAAGGGAGCAACACATCCTAAAGATAATTAAGCAACTGTCACTAAGAAGCAGTTGCAGGCTCCCCAACAACCTCCCCTGACTGCTTCTCAGTGCCCTCTAAGAGTTTAAGGAAGCTGAGAAATGACTTTTCCCTTTTTCTGAGAATGAAATTCCACATCCAAAAGCTTTACATCTTTTAGCTTTAAACATCCAACCAGTCTTACCCTTGAATGACGCAATCAACTTGCAGCAATAGTTAGAAAGGTTTTAATTAATTTCCTCCACTGCATACAAAGATCTAGAAATATCACATATCTCTCTCCTGCTACCTCCAGTTCCTCTCTACCATTCTTTTTCACCTATAGATAACCCCCAAGGGCCTACTCAAAACAATTCTGGATGAATTTGGGGTGGGGGGAACCCTACATTTGATCATTAAGGAAAGGATCTACTGAAGTAGCTTTCAAACTTTATCAAGCTTAAGAGAAGGAATTGAAATCCAGTTAAAACACAGGTTCCTTGGTCTGAACACGCTGAAATTTTGATTGTTGTGTTTGGAGTGTGACCTGGAAATCTGCATTTCCTACAAGATACCAGGTGATGCTGATGCTGTTAATTCTTAGGCCACACTTTCCGTAGCACTGGTCTAGGAACCCTAGGGAGAGAGAGACTTAACAAATACCAGGTGTCCCAAAAGATGCTTATGTGTAGGGTGCATGGTTGGCCCATGAGAGTTTTAGTTAATATGTTTTGTCCTGGTGGCCCATCTGGTGAAACATGTCCCAGACTAGATTCAAGTGGTAAGATTCGTTCTGTTACCTAGTCCTTACAGAGATTCCACAGGCAGGTATTAATTATTATTTCATTTGGCAAAGGAGAAGCTGAAGCTTGAGCAGATAAAGCAAGCTAGCCTGAGGAATGCAGTCAGTAAGTGAAATGGTCTGGAATTGAAGCCAAGTATCCTGCTAGGCTCCTCGATCCATGGGATTTCCCAGGCAAGAATACTGGAGTGGGTTGCCATTTCCTTTTCCAGGAGATCTTCCCAACCCAGGGATCAAACCCACATCTCCTGCATTATAGGCAGATTCTTTACCACTGAGCCACTGGGGAATGTTTTGCTCCAAATCCAGGCCTTTAACCAACAATAATGAACCTGCAGAGCCCCTTTTTAGTCCTTTTCAGGGCAGGATGGGGGCATGGTTCTCAGAGGCTTCAACCTGTCATCCTTACCATTTCACAGGACAACCCAACTTTGCAGTTATAAGCAAAAGTGAAGCATTAAATCAATCAACAGAGCAGGTACTACAAAGGAGCTTTGGCTACTTTCTTCAGCAGCAACTGACCTGAAGATGTCAAGTGATAAACGACATAATCAGGAAAGTGCTTCAGTGCAGTTTGGCCTCTCCTCCATTTCATGCAAAGAAAATAAGATTATTTCTGTCTGGGAAGGGACATCAGAGATCACCTAGTTGGTGGTGCTCCCTGTCAACACTCTTGAGGAATGTGAGTAACCATGAGTAACAGTACCTATGGCTCCATTTCAACCTCAGAGACTTTGGCAGGTGGGGGAGGGTGAGCGGGACAGAATCTTGGGGAGGAATGTTTGGGGGCAGCACTTGGCACTGGAAAAGGGCCCCCACTAATTCTGATTTGGTCCTTGCACAATCGAATCCACTGTTCTCTGAGGTCACTGAATCCATCCCTATATTTTAATTCCTCAAGATTCTGAGGCCTTCGTCCAAAAGAAAGGGTCTCCCTACACTTAATGCAGGATAGTGACATTTCACCCTCTGCGTGGCTAAACAAATCTTCCTGGAAGAACCAAAGAAAGCAGAGTCCTAAAGATGTGCAGAAAGATGGAGAGGTCCCAAAGGAAACTAGATTCCTCCCTCAGGCCCTGCTTTTTGTCTATGATGTTTGTTCCCTGGGATTGTCAGTCTTCACACCTGCACGCTGATTTTGGCAACAGAGATGCCTAAGAAACAGAGAGCAGACACACGCATTGATCCAGTAGGAACAGATTTTCCCACATAAAATTAGCTAAGCAACATTCTTCAAACACTTTTAGCTAATTAACAAAAGAACAAAGAGCTTATGTTTGTGAAGGTATTTTAGAGAAACAACTAAATCACTTCAAACAAACATTTCTTCTTCTGTTCTTTGCTCCTTTGCAGGGACATGAAATATCGAAATTGCCCTCTCCTAGGACAAAGGATGGTGACTACTAACCTTTATGGGTCATGTCTGCTTAGGAACAAGGAATCTGTCTGAGCAAATGTTCCCACATACCTGGAAACCAAATAAAAACCCCATCAACTAGGAAGTCAAGGTACCCTACCTTGGGGGAGGTGAAGGTACATTTGAGTTTCCGGGGCACTCTCTCATGGGCCATCTCAGTCCACTCAGCAAACATATCATCACGGTAAGCCAGAGAAACATCCATGGAAACTTCTGCATTTTCTCCTGCAAAAGAAAGGATGCACAATTTAGAAATGGCTTCTGGTAAGATACTTGAAAAACAGTTTTAAAACTCTTCTAGGCTCCACCATGGAAACCAATAAGACAAAAGAGATGTATCAGTTCCTATCAAGCACCAAACCTGACTTTCCAAATCTGAAGACTTAAAAGTCACAGGATGAATGTCTGAGCTGGATGCTGGGTCCCCTCCCATAACCAACTGCTCTGCTAAGGAGTCAAAGAGCTCCCACTGAAATTCTTCCAGAGATGGCGGTCTCATTCTCCCTGAGACAGTTCCAAATGGTCAGGTTCTGACTCAACATGTATCCTCCTTAATTTATACCATTGGTCCTACATCTCCCCGTATAAGTCCCATGGCACATGAGGTCATTTTTCCACAAAAGTGCCTTAGTACTTGAAACCTACAGCTCATCTGTCCTCTCCTCTCTGATCAAAATGACCAAGATTTTTCACCACCTCTCAGATAAATGACAAGTACGTTGGGTGCTTTCTTCAGGAACACTCTAGTCTGAAAGATCCTTTCTAAAATTCCCCCAAGAAGTTCTCAAATACAGGCTTTCCTGCTTCTCTAAAATGCAAAACTCTTTCTTCAGAGTGTGGACAAAGTTAATTTAAGATGTGAAGGGTTTCTCTAAATTTAAGATGACTTATACACAGACAGGAATATTAAAATAAGTTCATAATTAAACAAATGAGCATTCAATATACTTCAGTATCAATAAGGACCATGAATGGGTTTAACTCATCACAGAGCTCATTAAAGAGATTATTAGTTTGATAAAAATTACATCTATCCATTTGGTCTGTTTTATACTCTGTTCAGCAAGTTTCAGAATAGAGGAGTCTTAATGGGGGAAAAAAGCACAACTACATTTCTAAAATGACCATGGTGAGCCAGCTCCCACTAGGGTTATGAGACTGGACTCAGTTCTGGGCTCTGGAACCTCAACTCCATGTCACAAGGGAAACAGGTAAAAATAGCTGCTGTCTAGAAAATTGGGGCTTTACTATCCCTGACCCAGTGTGGCTCGAAGACAATTTGACAGTGCAAATCCCTAGCTCTCTGAGGAAATCTAGGAAGAGAAAGAAGTAATGCAGGAAAGAAGGGATGTGAGGCTATTCTGATATAGACAAAACTCTCAATGAACATCAGTGCCCACTCTTTTATTAGTACCATTTAAATCTTCAATCACTAATAATGAACTATTGGAGAGAAAAAGTGAAAAAAAAACAAACCCCACTTAAAATGATATCAAAAAGAGTAAAAAACCTAGGAATAAACTTAACCAAGAAGGTAAAATACCTATACTCTGCAAACTATGGAATACCAACGCAGGAAACTGAACATGATACAATGAAATGGAGAGATCTCCTATTCTCTTGTAATGGAATAATTAACACTGTTGAAATGGCCATGCTATCCAAAGCTATCTACAGATGGAATGCAGTACCCATGAAAATACCCATGCCCTTTTTCACAGAACTAAAACAAATAATCCTAAAATTTATATGGGACAACAGAAGACCCCAAACTGCCAAAGCAATCTTAAGAAAAAATAAAGCTGGAGGTATCACCTTCCCAGATTTCAGACTATACCACAAAGCTACAGTAATCAATAGTGTGGTGTGGACACAGAATAGACACATAGATCAACAGAGCAGAATAGTGAACCTAGAAATAAACCCATGCACCTATGGTCAATTAATCTATGACAAAGGAAGCAAGAATATACAATGTAGAAAAGAAAGTCTCTTCAATAAGCAGTGCTGGAGAAACTTGAACAGCTACACGTAAAAGAATGAGATTACAACATTTACTCAAACTATATACAAAAATAAACTCAAAATGTATTAAAGACCTATATGTAGAACATGACACTATAAAGAAGAGAATATGAGCAGGACACTCTTTGACTTAAATCACAGCAGTATTTTTTTTTGGATCAGTCTCCTAAGGCAAAAAAATAAAAGCAAAAGTAAACAAACTGAAACCTAATTAAACTTTAAAGTTTTTGCATAGCAAAGGAAAGCAATAATAAAACAAGAAGACAACCTATGGAATGGGAGAAAATATTTACAAATGATGCAACCAACAAGGGGTTAATAACCAAAATATAAAAACAGGTGGTACAACTCAATATTTAAAAAAAACCAAATAACTCAGTCAAAAAATCGACAGAATACCTGAAAAGACATTTTTCCAAAGAAGATATTCAGATGGCACATGAAAAGGTGCTCAACATTGCTAATTATTAGAGAAATACAAGTCAAAGCACAATGGAGTATTACCTACACCTGTCAGGATGGCTAGCATCAAAAAGTCTACAAATAACAAGTTGGGGTTAAGATGTAGAGAAAAATGAACCCTGTACTCTGTTGTCAGGAATGTAAATTGGTGCAGCCACTATGGAAAAGAACATGGAGATTCTTCCAAAAACTAAAAGTAGAACCATATGACCCAGCAATTCCACTCCTGGGTATATATCCAGAAAAACCAAAAACACTAATTCAAAAAGATGCATATACTCTAATGTTCATAGCAGCAATAGCTTCAACATAAAATACAGAAGCAACCCGTGTCCATCAACAAATGAGTGGATAAAGAAGATGTGGTATAGGAAGGAGACTCAACAGGGAGGGGACATATGTATACCTATGGCTGATTCATGTTGAGGTTTGACAGAAAACAATGAAATTCTGTAAAGCAATAATCCACCTGAAAAATAAATAAAAAAGATGTGGTACAAATCACACACACACACACATACAATGGAATATTAGCCATAAAAAAGAATGAAATTATGCCATTTGCAGCAATGTGGATGGACCTAGAGAATATTATGCTTAGTGAAATAAGTCAGGGAAAGACAAATACCGTATGTTATCACTTATATGTGGAATCTAAAATAATACAAACAAATGTATATGGCAAAACAGAAATAAATATAAAAAACAAACTAGTGGTTACCTGTAGGGAGAGGAGACAGGGAGGGGCATGTCAGGGGTATGATGTTAAGAGATACAAACTACTATGTATAAAACAACAAGGACATATTGTATAGCACAGAGGATTGTACCCATTATCTTATAATAACTGAATAGAGTATAACATGCAAAAAAGAAAATCTGAATCTCTACACTATATATCTGAAACTAATATAATATTGTAAATCAACTATACTTCAATGAAAAAATAACTAAAGACGATAAATCCTCAGTCAAATATGATGAATTGGCCACCTGTGTTTTCCTTAGCTCACTCCTAAAACTCCACCAAAAAACAAAACTAATAACAGGAAAGGAAAATAAAAGCCATTAAATCACATGGGGGAAAAATGATAGTGACATCAGCAGATCAGAGATTGCAACAATTGTTTTGAAGATGAAAAATAGATGAAGTAGGATTTCCAGGCAGCCACAAAGACGGGCACAGCTGAAATTCCACAGGAGGGATATTTTGAAAAAGTGAGCCAATATGTTCAATAGACCCCCAAGTCACTCAGAAATGGGAAGTACCAGGTGTTGCATAAGACAGGAAAAGCAAGATGCTGACGACAGAGAAGTGGGGTCAAAGTCTATACACAGAGTCACTGGAACCCCAGTTCTCATCCATCTTCTCAGCTCCACACAGTCAGGAGGAGACCCTGGACTTGAGGACACCAGGCTGTGCAGAGACCCAGGGCTGAGAATGCAGAATAATAGGAGTTTGTATAAGAAACTGTGGGATGCCTGGCTTGGCAGAAGCAATAACCAGAGTTTGTATATCCTCTTGGTTAGGAGCCACAATGACTACAACTGCTCCTTGCTTGGCAGCCTCAGTGGTCCAAAGAAAGAACTGGCCAGAGCTTCCATCTGTGAGTTGAGTATCAGGCACCAAGTTACCTCCTTTTCACTTCTAACCCTGGGATTAGGAATTGGGACGGTCAACTCTGTTGAAAGGGCATTTCCACAGAGCTCAATAGTATAAATATGAGAGGTATAAAGGAAGTTATCAGTTCTTATGTTGAGCTCCTTGGAGGGCCAGGGTTCAGGGCAGCACTGGCCTTAGATACAACACAGCAGGAGAGGTCCTGAATCTCAGCCCCAGCCTTTTAAAGGGTCCTTCTCTAGGAACTTCACTGCTGGCCCAGTGGTTAAGAATCTGCCTTCCAATGAAGGGGGACATGGGTTTGATCCCTTGTCAGGGAACTAAGATCCCATGTGCTGCAGGGCAGCTAAGCCCACACACAGCAACTAGAAAGCCACATGGCACAACCAGAGACGCCTGCAAGTTGCAACTACCGAACCCATGCACGGCAACGAGAGAAGTCCACAGGCTGCAGCCAAGAGCACGCATACCACAGCGAAGGCCCGATGCAGCAAAAAATAAAGAAATGAATGAAAGTCTCTCAGTCGTGTCCGACTCTTTGCACCTGCATGGACTGTAGCCCACCAGGCTCCTCTGTCCATGGGATTCTCCAGGCAAGAACACTGAAGTGGGTTGCCATGCCCTCCTCCAGGGGATCTTCCCAACCCAGGGATCGGACCCAAGTCTCCTGCATCGCAGGCAATTCTTGACATCTAAGCCACCAGGGAAGCCCAGTGTAAATAAATAAATATATATATAAAATTAACAAATAAATAAAGGGTCCCACTCTGTCTCACCCTTTCCCAGCTGTTCATTTCTTCTCCGGATGAGAAGACCGTGAAGTGAAAGGGACATGTTCACCAAGAGCCTAACCTCTCCCCCAATTTATAGAATATGGCCCAGGAACTCAGGAATCCAGAATACATACTCAGACAGCTCTAAGCCTATTTCCATATCCTGGGGAGGAGGACAACTTCCCCAGATCTGGTCTCCCAAAGGAAACTACACAACTACTTGTGCACCTTTGGGCTCATGAGTGATCAAAGGGCTGCTGTTTGTAGGAGGACATGGACAGAGGTTGAGCTTGGAGGGCCGGGTGTCCACACATAAACAAATTCTTTGTGTGGGATGGAGTCAG